GAGAGAGAGAGAGATTTACTTAGGGAAAACAATGATAAACTAATGTGATTAGTGATCATTAATTTAGATTAGATTTATAATATTTACACCATATAGCATTGGAAAATATTTGACCCATCACTATAGGTTGGTATTGAAAGATTACGGGGCAGCCATGGGGAAACTGGCTCTCACGTTAGCTGGAATTCTTGCCGGTAAATTGGGCCATTCGCTGGAGTTCTTCTCGGAAAATTGCAATGAAATGACGTCTTTTGTGAGGATGAATCATTACCCTCCATGTCCTCTTTGGCCTGAAGTTTTTGGTATAATTCCTCACACTGATAGTGATTTTCTCACCATATTATGCCAAGATCAAGTTGGTGGATTACAACTCATGAAAGACTGCAAATGGATCTCTATTATGCCCAATCCGGAAGCTTTTATCGTCAATATAGGCGATCTCTTTCAGGTAAGTTCATTACTATCTTTTTCATTTAGGGTTAGCACGCTGGTATCATATACTCCTTCAATTAAAAGTCCTACTTCAGATATTTTTTGAAGTTTTAAAATTTGAGAAATACCTAAGATTCACTAGATGCTTATTTTTAAAATAAAAATTTGAATTTTGAGGTTTTTTTGGCTCTTAGATCTTACTCTTCAGAAATTGAACAGTCTTTGTTGAGACTCTTTTTTTTTTCTTGTACATAGAGAGTTCAATTTGGATTTTTTTATTTTTATTACTGAGGTTAACCTATAGGTTGACTAGGCTACACCCACAAATTTTGAGTCCTAAGATTTCTTTTATATTGGGTTTTACCTCAGAAGTAAGTGGATAATGTACTCTTGCAGGAGTATAAAATCTTTTGGTATAGCTATTAGTACGTTAAGCATAACTCAGGTTTACCGTATTTATATAAAAAATAGTGTATATAAGGTGTCAATCTTATACCCTATGAAAATAGACTTCAAAAATATATGAAAAAGATTGTTCCAATGCTAAAAAAAAACCCTTCAATTGGTCAGACCTTGAGATGTATAAAAAAAAAAAAGGAGTTTAAGTCTCATAAAAAGTACATCCACATTATTTATATGCCGTTCATTTTCAAGATTTTCAAGTATTCTTCTTTGAGCACCAATTTTTAAAACTTTAAATTTCATAATTAAAGTAAGAAATCAGGTCATCACAAGATTTCTAATATTGAAACTACATCTTTTGACAAAGTTTAGAGGCGTACATTATTTAATTGCTTAAAGTGGACCCTTTATAAACTACACCCTTTGTCAAAGTAATGTATACAAGAGATGAACTTTCAACTTTTTATCCAGTTTTTTAATTAATTTCAAAAGCCCAATAAAATCTAGATGATCATGAGTTGGAGTGATTAAATATAGTAAAATATGAAATAGTTTACGATGTAAATATGGGTGCAGTTTGTATAAAGCCTAAGCTCTAAACGATCAAATTAGAGCCTACCTCAAGAAATGTGGTTTCAATATTGGAAATTTTTGTGATAACCTTAAAATAGATTTTCATATTTATTTATAAACTTTAAAGCTTTAAAAATAGTGTAGATCGACAGATATATGAAAACTCGAAAATCTTGAAAATTGACGGTCCAAAAATGCATTACAAAATACACTATTTCCAAGCTTGAAATCCATTTTTCTCTCATGTCCATGCATCTGATGTCGATCAATTTGAAGATATTTGAGCATCAAAA